AAATACGAAGTGTCATTATATTTTAGTAGCCAACTTTATTTTAAAATTTACCATTTACTGAATATGACTCTAATTTCGCATGATTTTTGCCCATTTTAGGCCTCGGGAAGAAAAAAAAATCGTTAAAAAAATATTATTCACTCGATCGCACTTGAACCAACGATTTTGTAACTAGGGCCCATAGGGCTTTATTCTGGCTGAGTTTGAGGCCAGGTCATTTTTTTACTATTTCCACGTCTAGTTGATATTTACGCGAAGCCGCTCTTAAGCGCAAAACAGGGTTGCAATGAGTCAAGACAATGTTGCAACGCTGTGTTGCGCTAAAAATGTTGCTAATAATCTCTTGTAACAATACTCGCCTTCGGAATCTAAGAAAATCTTCGATTCTGGATTACACGCCGTGAATTCCTAAATGTAATCACTGGATTCCACATCTATTTCGGTGGAACCTGGATTCCGGATTTAAAAAGTTAGTGGGATCCCGGAATCCTACAGCTGTATTCCGGATTCCAAGGTCCACGATTCCGGATTCCACATGCAAAAATTTTGCAGATACCGGAATCTTGACTCCCTAAAATGGGCAAAATATGTTAAGCACTCACGAACAGAACTGTGAGAAAAAATGACTGCTCTTCAGTCTAAGGTGATGACCATTTCTTGGCAGATCTGGGCTGTAAAACTGATAATAACCATGGCTTTTAGAAGACAGATAACTTGGGTTACAATCCACTGTAACGGATGTCACATGGAGCTTGCTAGAGGAGAAATGCTAATGCTGGCCACAATTTCAAAGTTGCAGTTCCACCTTGCTGTAAGGCCGGAAAAAGAAGCAGACGCACTTGAAAAGCTCAACAAGGTGGAAAATCGAAAGGGTGGAAAAAGCGCTCAACATTGTCCTTACATAGTTCTTTGCCGACAGTGTCGAATGCACGTGGGTAAGGTTACGACATTATCGTCAAAACAGTTTGTCTGCTATAAAATAGACAACATATACCTTGTAACAACGGTGATGAAATTCGAGCGAAGAAACTGTCCAAGATATGTCCAAGACTTAAAGAGGAGTGTTGCCTTGAAGTTGTAAAAGTGTCTCCGGCAATATGTCAGTCCCATCTCCGATTAAGCGAGCCAATGATTTACTGCGACACAATGGGGCTTACACATACGTCGCAAGAAATCGATTTTTTAACACGACAGTCCCCGCGGGACTATCAACGGGAACTTTTTCTATCCGCCATGCGCAGAAACTCCCTCGTCTGCTTACCAACGGGTTCGGGAAAGACCTTGGTGGCAGCGATGGTACTGAGCTGTATGAAGAAACTTAACCCAAACAAGCTAATGGTGTTCCTCGCTGACCGAGTCCCACTGGTTTACCAGCAGAGCGAATATATTAAGTCTCAGGTGCCTGAATTGAGAGTGAAGACGATGGTAGGTGAAATGGAACCACCACAGAAGAAAGCCGTCCATCAAGCGTTAGCAAATCAGGGAGTTGATGTTTTAGTCCTGACACATCAGTTTTTTCTAGATTTTCTAGCTGACGAGAACAGCTCGATCATTTGTTTCTCCAATATTTCGGTGCTAGTTTTCGATGAAGCTCATCATTGCCACGGAAATCATCCGTACAAACAAATAATGGGATACTATCGCGACACATCAAGCAATTTTAAACCCATTGTGCTGGGTTTGACTGCCTCACCAGCTGGAGAAGTAACAGTTGAAAGTACCATGGAACGACTTAAAACATTGTTAAACAACCTGAACTGTGAAGTTTCAACGCCCACTGAATTAAAGACCCTAGCAGTAAATGTTAACAATCCGGATACTACGTACAGCATAGTACCCGACACGAACCCCCACCAGGATCGCCTCAAGGCATGCATTGAAGAGCATGTTCTTAACTTGAAGACAGCTTACATCGACGGCGCAAGCGTATGGCAACGGTCAGAACTTAATGGACTTCCTTTGTTTTCATCTAATTTTAGAGGAGCACTGAGACGACTGATTGACAGTTGCCATGGTGACAAAAGATTGACAAAAACGCTGATGGCTGGAGAGCACATCATGCAGATGCTCTGTATTGTAGATACCTGTGAAATTCTTAGCTACCATCATGCAATGCACTGCCTCAGAGAATGCATAAATAACATCACTTATGCTATTTCACCAAAGGACCTTGCCCTGTTGGACATGGTTGGAGCGAACACTACATTTAGTGATCTCAAAGACTTAGCAGACAGTTCTGTTGAAGAAGAGGTCGCCGTATCGGACCGATATCGTATCCTTGGAGCGCTAATAAATGAGTTTTTGTGCTGCGCGCAAATGGATGAATCTTCCAGAGGAATCGTCTTTGTGACAATGCGCAAAACCGCTTATAAGCTTTGCGAGCAGATCAGGACGCTTTCCGGGGTGCCGGAAACGTTGAATCCAAAAGTTTTTGTAGGGCACGGTCAGGGAAGTTACGACGGAATGGATTGGACAGATGAACAAGAAGTGCTGTTAGAATGCTTTAAAACAGGCCAGACAAAACTTCTTATCAGTACCAGCGTTCTGGAGGAAGGCCTTGATGTACCTGAATGTAATCTGGTCATCCGCTTTGAAGGGGCAGCTTCACTGCGCGCACGTGTTCAAACGAGAGGGCGTGCATCTGGTCGCCCTGACAGTAAGTTCGTAGTGATTTGTAAAAAGACGGAAAAACAAGAAGCTGATGTTGTGGCTCTTAAAGAACAAAACATGGACGAAGCAATAAGACGTCTAATGTTATGTAAGAGACAAACGCTACAGGCAGAAGAATATGGATGTGAAATGAAAAGTCTTCTTTCTTTCTTCCCCACAAGTAAAGAAATTGTTAACACCGAAAAGTATAAGCCGAGAATAAATATTTCCGTGCATCATCTTGGAACTGTGGAGCATCATCAACGCGTTATAGAATTTTTGGAACAAAGGTTTGAAGTCATTCATATGAAGACAATCACAGCTTCTTCAACAAGCAGTGACGGAAACGGGCGGAAAAATTTGAGCTTTGAGCTGCAGCCAAAGGAAGACAAAATTCGTAAAGAATTCAGATCGAAGGAAGAGTTCCTGAATTACGTGACGGAACAGTGGTGCTCTCACCTGGCGAATCCTGAAGAAGAACCACTTCCGATTTGGCTCAAGGCGTCGTTCCCCAAGAAACGTCACAAAGCTGAAGACACTTTTCATTTGCTGAAGGCAAATTCTATGTTTCTCGGGACGTTTCTTACTCGGTGCCATTTTCGATATCAGTGGCCCTCGGAACCCACCCTGCAGAATGTTCTGATTTACTTTGATCACAGCCTCAAGTTATTGACGATAGGATTTAAGACTTATAAGCTGGAACTCCGATATGAAGAACTTGAAGATTGTTTAATCGTCAGCAGTGACGTGGCATCTGACGTAATCAATTTTTTTGTTACCATAAAGCACCCACCTCGATTGTTTCAATCTGTTGATGACCTTTTCCTGGAAGTTGACGGTAACAACGAGCAGGGCCCACTAGAAAATGACGATGACGACTTTCTCCAAGTTGATGTTGATGATACATTGAGCGAATTGTCGGATGACGGGGGAGAATCGAAATCAGACAGTTTCTCGACTGATGAAGAGTACCCAGATCCAATCATGAATTTTCGCGAGCGTCCCTTGCGTCACCAATACAATTTTGACCAGATTGCCTGGGAGAGGGTGCCTGATATCTTAAATAGTGAAAAAGCTTGGGCCTATTGCTATACGTACTGTTTTGTACTTTCTAGCAAGGAATCTTCCCAGATCATTCACTTGTTGTCCAGAATCCAGAATCGGTTCAACAAAAATGCATTTTATTGTCGCGTGAAGAAAAGCTTTGGCAGCTTTCCAGTTACTAATACTCCCCCTAATTTGCCATTTGATGTGAAGTATGCGTCACAGACTGTTCTTTCGTGGCATCCAGTAATGCGTGGAAAGATGTCTTCGACTTTCAGCGAACTTTTGCTAAACAAGCCAAGCAGTGTAGTGTGTGCAGCACTTGAGCAGTTGAAGAAAACTCTGGAACAAGATTCGTTCTGTGATCCCGAAAAGGCCTTCAAGGCATTTCTAGGCCAAAACGACCCTTCAGCTTCCGGGTTTAAAAAGAGGCTCATCCCAGGCCACTGTGCTCTGATAAAACGTGCAGTCATCACCCCAACAAGACTACTACTGTACCCACCGGAAGTCATGGTGAAAAATCGCGTACTCAGACAGTACGAAACGGAGAATTTCCTGTGTGTCAGTGTTCGTGATGAGGACCTTTCCAAACTATCTGCAGGACGAGGAAGTCTGGATCCACTGCTGGACGGCATTAACCGTATCCTGGATGAAGGACTGGACATAGCTGATGAACGGTTCCAGTTTTTGGGGTCATCAAACAGTCAACTCCGTAACCATAGCTGCTGGTTTGTTGGGCCAAAGTATGAACCAGAAATCATACGTAGTTGGATGGGAGACTTCAGTCATATAAGGTAAGTGCACGATTTACAGTTAAGTTGTACTGAAAATGCTGAAGAGATAAAAGGGCATCAGAGGCAATTATGAAAACTAGGCCGTAACTCTTCAAAACGATAAAAACGGTGGCTTTAATTGCCTAAGAATCAGTGAGAAATTAGTTAATACTAAACTTAAGCAAAGAAAGACAAACACCGTTGAGCCGTCACTTTGTCTCAGGCTCTATTCGAAAAAAAAAACAAAACATAACAAAAAGCAATGCGTCCTTGTCTCGTATACAGAGCAAGACAGCTAAATAACCTTTCTGGGCGTATTTTTCTCAATTCAAGGTGTGTGGCTTCATACGTGGCTCGCATGGGTCAGTGTTTTTCTACCTCTATAGACTCCGTGGGCATTGGTATCAGCGAAGGTGCCCAAAGCGAGAAAGAGGACGACGTTAAGACAGTTGACCAGAAATACTGTTTTTCTGATGGAATTGGCAGAATATCAAAAGAACTTGCTGCAGAGGTAAGATTATAAGTAGAGATTACTCCATACACTCCTTAGAAGGTCTGCCTTGCTTCTCATCGTCTGTCGTACCATGAGCGACATATTTGCTCCTTCCGCGTGGTGCATGGTAGAAGGGGTGGCCCTTGTTTGCCTGGAAACGGTCAAGCCGCTGTTTGAGGCTGTCATTTTTTATTTTAAAGTTTTGTTAGAAGCCACGTCTCTCCGTACGGTTTGTTTTTAGGGCTTACCTCCTTAGGTGTTCTTTTTTAAACTGCTATTTAACCGATAGCTGGACTATACGTGAGTCGTCTAGAAAACCTTAAAAGTTCGCAGAAATTCTGGCCACCCGCACATAAATAAAAAAAGAGAACTTCAAGGAAAAGCCATCGTGACTTTCGTCAAATATTTATCTTTGTTTTTGTTTATTGTAGGTTCTCAAGAAAATTGCCAAGCCGTTCAAACCATCTGCCTTTCAAATTCGATTTTCTGGCTTTAAAGGTGTCCTTGCAGTAGATCCGAGACTTCCAGGCAAACAGGCCATCTTCCGTCCAAGCATGTGCAAATTTGAGAGTTTCCATCGCAGACTTGAAGTATTGCAGACGTCTCGACCCCAGGTCGTTTATCTCAACCACCAGGTGATTATGCTGCTTTCCAACCAGGGTGTGTCAGATGATGTTTTTATTCGACTGCAGAGCAAAATGTTGGAGAAACTGGCAGGTAAGGTGCTTCCAAAGAGAAAAGTGAATAATTATACTCAATAAGCCTAATCTTTAAATGCGTTTGGCCGATGGAGATTATGACAAAATTATAACTATTTTAGAATGATGAAATGAAAGTCACGTTTTCCGCAAACGGCAAACGTCAGATTAAAGTTTAAAATTACTCAAATTGGGAAATAAGCAGACATAAACAGCTCACAACAACTTTTATGGATGAAACTGGCGACAACTACCACTTTTTGTAGAAATAATTAACAGCAAAGAACAGGAAAAGAGAAAAATTTGGCAGTACGTGGGACAAATTAGCGTTTGCCCTTTGCTGTAAACGTTACTCTTTTAAAATAGAGAGGTTAAGTATCACGTTTTCGTCAAAACGGCGACCAAGTTTCCCCTTTACTTGTCGTTTACTGTTCATAACTTCTACACATAAATGAGTAGTTTCACACAATTTCTTATCCATAAGAATTTTTGGAGCTGTAACAGTTATCAGCTCATTTTCTACGTTGAGAAATTCTCAACTTGAATCTGGCGATTGCCGTTCGTAGTGTACCTGGGCCTGGTTCCTGAAAGGTCGATTAGCAGTAAGCCAGGATTAAAACTTTGTTCCACTTTCTGTATTTACCTTCCTATGCATTGCTTAGAGTAACATTTTGTGTTATCAGTTCTTTTTGTCGAGGTAAAGAGACAACAGTATTTTGTAAGCTCTAGTTACATGTTCTTAGACAAGAAAACCTTGCTTTAGACTTGGTTTAATCCTGGGTTAAACTTAACCATCTTTCGAGGAACCAGGCCCTGAAGCTTGAACTCTCTAATCCCTCTACTGACTGAAAAGAAGTCCTTTTTATCGTGATTTTCTTATCAGGAATGCTTGTTAATGAGAACGATGCTATCGAGCTGCTGGGTACTGGAGCCAAAATGGGCGTGTCCTATAAAAGTTTATCAAGCTCGGGAATACCGCTGACAACGGAGCCGTTCTTTAAATCCCTGCTTGTTGCTATGTATAGAAATCACATCCACGAGCTACTCTCCCGATCCCGAATCCTTCTGCCACCAGAGGAGGCACGTTTGATGATGGGTATAATGGACGAGCTTGGTGTACTAAAACCAGGACAGGTTTGTTGCTTTCTTTGCAACTTTTGTTTAGATATTTCTAGTAAGTGCGAGGATTTATTGCATTTTTCCTGATTCAGTCTAGTGTACAGTCAAACATGTATGTGTAACGCAAACTCGCATCTAGCTGTCGCAGTCTATTATACACTCTATTAAACTGCCATAACGCATTCAGTTTATGAAGTGCAGAAAACTAGTCTTCCCTAGTTAAGTACTAGCATTCTGCAAACTGGTCTTTCCTTTAAATTCTCAATTAATTTGTTTGTTTCTTGACCGTCCTATTAAACGTAATTAGGTGTATAGTTTTTCGATTTAGGTTAAAAGACACCGGCAACATCACACCGCAACATCCCTGATTGGTCTATCATCTTTTGATCCAAAAATAAACAAGTCAACACAGACTCAGCTATTAACGTAACTCGTCCTCTTGTTTAATAATGAGCTTCATGTACCAACAGAACTCACACGTTATTCGACGTCTATTTATAAATTAGGTCTATGTGCAGTATTCTGAAGTTTCCACCCGTGTAGATTGCGAGGACCAGTTCAACACGAGCAAGAAACGTGTTGTTAGGGGACCTTTAGTAGTGACCAGAAATCCATGCTTGCACCCAGGAGACGTTCGCCAACTTGAAGCTGTTGACGTCCCCAAACTTAGCCATCTAGTGGACTGTGTGGTTTTCCCTCGACGTGGTTCGAGACCTCACTGTAATGAAATGGCAGGTAGGGTTTGGGTAGAAAGGGTTTGGGAATGGGGTAGCTTTCTTAAAGCAACGGAAGTTCTTCCTTCCTTCGTACTCTTCCCTTGAATATGTCTTTACACTGTGACAGTGTGTTTGAAGCCTCCCCTCAGAAATGTTTGTTGCTAGTAATTACGGACCCTTTACTGCCCCACGCATCAATTGCACTGTTTGTGCCACGTTCATTCTTGCCCAATTTTGCGTGTTAAGTAAATAAGTGCGACTACTAAATGAATACTTACAGTATAAACCTAAAAAAGGTTATTTTCATGCATGTGTAAGAACCAGTGCGAACCTACTCAAGACATTCTTGGCCTATAAGCAGCCAAGGCGTGCTATCATAAATTTAATCTCTACACGTCGCGTACGCAATCTTCGAGTACCAGCTTTGATTGAATTTGGACTGAGTGCGGTTTACAATGTAGTTTTATCGTTGTATTTCTGTCTTTTATCGGCAATAATTATCATTCCAATACAGACAGATGATTGGGAGCAAATGTCGCTTGATTGAGGATACTATTTGTTTTTTAAAATACAATGCAATCAAAGAAAATAGGGGATAAATGTCTTGATCGCAAGGTAATAGTTAAAAAGAGTGCTCATTCCAATTTTAGGTGGTGATTTGGATGGGGATCTCTACTTCGTGTGTTGGAACAAAGACTTGCTACCAAGGAAACCAAATTTCCCGCCGATGGATTACCAAGCCCCGGAAAAGCAGGAACAAACGCAACCAATCACAGCCGCCGACATGACTAAGTTTGTGGTCGACTACATTCGCTGTGATCAGTTAGGAGTGATTGACAACGCGCATAAAGCGTTAGCAGACCAGGAGAATGATGGTGTTGAATCTAAAGTTTGTCTACATTTGGCAGAGATACATTCTTTAGCAGTAGATGCGCCTAAAACAGGCAAGTGGCCCAAAATGCAGGGCATCGGGAAGATTAAGGCATGCCCTGATTTTATGATGAAACGTGATAAACCTAGTTACCCATCAGACAAGGTTTTAGGAAAGCTCTACCGTCGCTGTCGAAAGTTTCAAGACGCAGCGTCTGAAAAGTTTGACCAGAAAATGAGGATCGACAAGTCTTTACTCCTGCAAGGTAACGACAGGTATATTGAAGAAGCCAGAGAGTCATACCAGCAGTACCGAGACAAAATGCAGGTTCTAATGAGTTTGTACGGCATTGAATCCGAGGCCGAAGTTTTCACTGGCTGCTTTCTAAAGCTTCGAAATCGCCTGAGTAAAGAGAAAACAGAGATTGCAGGAATCGTTGGCTGCATCCTCTTTGAGATGCGGATGGAATTCCGAAACCAGTTCTTCCACGACTTCAATGTGAATGGTCAGGATTTGTTGGACAATGAGGATATCACAGATGAGATGCTGCTTAAAGCTTCAGCCTGGTACAATGTGGCCTACACGCATGCTCATGACCAGGCAAATGAGTCAGAACCAGGTCCCCAGAAACGTTTGCTCGGTTTTCCATGGTTTGTTAATGACATCATACTTGCTATCAAAAACCTCAAACAACCGCATCACTTCTCCCAGAGCCTGGACGTTAATACAACTGTAGGTGAGAATGTAGCCAGACTGTTTAATGAAGAAAAGACCTGGATACTTGAACAGCTTTTAGAAAGAGTAAGAACCAAAAAGTCGATTGCGCGGCATCTAAAAGGCGTTTTACCACAGCATTCGATGATTATGACTGGTTCCTCAGCCACGCTTCTATTTCACGAACATTCAGACCTGGATATCTGCGTGTTACCACAGAGTACCCAGAAATTGCATGGTGTTCCTGTTATTTCACAGGAAATGTATCACAATACACCATTCCTCTCGGGCCTTCTGGAAGAATGTAACTGGTCGAAACGGTCATTTGATCCAATTGACTCAGTTGAAAAGCATGCACATCCCTCTAAAGTGAATGACATCCCTGTTAAAGACCAAGTGAAATCACTCGAGAGGCTGATACCACACCTAAAAGGGATTAAGGTGCAAAAAGGGGAAGAGGGGGATCCTAAAAATCTATTTCATAAAGTTGGCCTTGTCGGCAAAAGGACGTTTCCGGTAAGGATGCTCTTTCTGTTATTACAATCAAACATTCCATAAGCGAGCACTCTAAACACCCAGCCTAGCTGGTCACAGACACAGTCACCACAGTCACAGTGAGATAATAACCTTATTTTGAATTATCTCAGCCTTTCTGGAATCAGATGTTCAGATGTTAAGAATTGGAAGCTGAATAATGCTACCGAATGGATAAATCACTAACAAGGAGATACCGGTTTTAGCTTCCCTTAGTTGTCCATTTTTCGCTATTAACGTTATGAACAACGGGACTTGATGTCTCCAGGTAATGCTCTTAAGTAGAACAAAATATGTGTAAATCTTTAATCTAACTGGAGCTTCCTACAAAATCCTAGCCACTGACTTACTTTTTATTTTTATTTTTTTAGGTCCTTGTTTGCAAGCACCCCACAGGGAAGTTGTTAAATGAAACCAAATGCTCCCCCAATCTTGTTTGCGATTTGATTGCTTCTCCAAACAGTTTGCCAATTGGAGTTCTTTTGTCAAGCTACGTAAAGTCCTTTCCTCAACTCTTGTTAGTTCTCCGTGTCATTCACCTTTGGTGTTATGTGACAGGCCTGTCACGAAACAAAGCTGGTGCTGGAAACACGTCGAATCTAATGGCCTCCGTGCTTCTATTTCAGTGCATGCGCGAGGGACAAATTCAAAATTTCAACGAAGATCACATTACCTCAGAGGTACGTAAACTTGTACGAGGAGGGGTGACAGAAAGTAGCATGTACGTGGAATGGGAAAAAGTAATTCGCCTTCTTGCTGACGATGCTGGTGAAAACGCAAATAGCACACACCTCCCCACCCCCAAACTTGGTGAAATGCTTATGAGGTTTTTTAAAGCGCACAAGTCGTTTTTTGAAGAAGAGGTTCCAAACCCCTTGGCGCGTATCTTGCGCGCACGTAAATTTGCAGATCTGTTGGAGAAGGACCACGTGAACTTGGTGATGGAACATATGCGCCGTGCTTATCAGCTGTTAGCACTTTATGGTGATGTGCAAATAATGTTGGCAATAAGTGGTTCTGAAGATTACAATGTTATTTACTTATCACCTCTCCTTTCTTCCTTCTTCGCCGGTGTCGAGAAAAGTAAGGCTCTAGAAATTGCGAGGAAGACTGGGGCAAGGAGTGTCGTTATCCGTCCCAAACTCCCTCGATCACGCAATTCAGCTATCTTAGAGGTGAAGGGAAGTGAACCTACGATTCGCGCAGTGGAAGTAGAGCTTGAAAGAATGGAAAAACAGGCATCACGTGACCGTGTATCACTGATGAGCGGCTGTTTCGTGGAAGATGCAAGTGTTGTCTTATATGAGGGGAGTCGACACGAAAATGATCACGTCTCACTGACACCATACGATGGGCCATGTCATCAGACACATGATAGCCTTGCACGTCATGTAGCCTTGGTAACCAACCCTACTTGCAGTGAGTATCTGCGTCGACGATTCACAGAGAAATTCTTTCAGCAACTTAAGGTATGTCAACCTGTTACTATTTAATGTTCTCTCAGAGCCCTGTTTAGTTCCAGGTTAGTTCTCGTTAAATTGTCCTACACAGCGATGAAAAGTTGACTAAGGATCTATTCATAGGAAATATACACACGTGCTGAAACCGCCACCCTCTTAGCTCAATTGGATCAGCGTCGGTCTGCCGAGCAGCAGGCCGCTGTGTCAAGCCCCGACCGGCCCAACGCTCATCTATCAAGGGTATTTTAGGGGTAGAAATGCCCAGCTTCCCCCCCCCCCCCCACAAAAAAAAAAAAAAAAATTTATTATTTTTTTTTTCTTTTCAGTATAAAAGAAACAAATTGGAAAAAAACAATCAAGACGGAAGAAGACAAGACAACACACGGAAATATTTTTAAAATTTGTTTTCAAAAATGACCAGATTGACTCTCACCGCCAATTCCTTTTAAAAAATTTT